AGGGCTTGCTCAGGAAGGACAGACAGGGAAAAAAGGGAGGAGGGGTTGCCTTGTATATTAAAAATGTACACACTTGGACTGAAGTGGAGATGAACGTAGGAGATAGCTGTGTAGAGAGTCTCTGGGTTAAGCTAAAAGGGGTAAAAAACGAGGGTGATATCATGCTAGGAGTCTACTACAGGCCACCTAGCCAGGTGGAAGAGGTGGATGAGGCCTTTTTTAAACAATTAACAAAACTATCCAAAGCCCAAGATTTGGTGGTGATGGGGGACTTCAACTATCCAGACATATGTTGGGAAACTAACACAGCGGGGCACAGGCTATCCAATAAGTTTCTGGACTGCATTGGAGACAACTTTCTGTTTCAGAAGGTTGAAAAAGCTACCAGAGGAGAAGCTGTTCTGGATTTGGTTTTAACAAATAGGGAGGAACTAGTTGAGAACTTGAAAGTGGAAGACAGTATAGGGGACAGTGATCATGAAATAATAGAGTTCATGATCTTAAGGAAAGGTAGAAGGGAGACCAGCACAATTGAGGTTATGGATTTCAGGAAGGCAGATTTTGATAAGCTCAGAGAACTTGTAGGTAAGGTCCCATGGGAAGCAAGACTGAAGGGAAAAACAACTGAGGAGAGTTGGAAGTATTTCAAAGGGACGTTGTTAAGGGCCCAAAAGCAAACAATTCCGCTGTGTAGGAAAGATAGAAAATATGGCAAAAGACCAGCTTGGCTTAACAAGGAGATCTTGCATGATCTCAAAATAAAAAAGGAGTCATATAAAAAATGGAAACTAGGACAACTAACAAAGGATGAATATAGGCAAGCAACACGGGAATGCAGGGGCAAGATTAGAAAGGCAAAGGCACAAAATGAGATCAAACTAGCTACAGGCATAAAGGGAAACAAGAAGACCTTTTATAAATACATTAAAAGCAAGAGGAAGACCAAGGACAGGGTAGGCCCACTGCTTAGTGAGGAGGGAGAAGCAGTAACAGGAAACTTGGAAATGGCGGAGATGCTCAATGACTTCTTTGTTTCGGTCTTCACCGAGAAGTCTGGAGGTGTGCCTAACGTAGTGAATACAAGCAGAGAGAGGGTAGGTTTAGAAGATAGGATTCACAAAGAACAAGTTAAAAGTCACTTAGGAAAGTTAGATGTCAGCAAGTCACCAGGTCCTGATGAAATGCATCCCAGGATACTCAAGGAGCTGATAGAGGAGGTATCTGAGCCTTTAGCTATGATCTTTGAAAAATCATGGCAGACAGGGGAGATTCCAGAAGACTGGAAAAGGGCAAATATTGTGCCCATCTATAAAAAGGGGAATAAGAACAACCCAGGAAATTATAGACCGGTCAGTTTAACGTCTGTCCCAGGGAAGATAATGGAGCAGGTAATTAAGGAAATCATATGCAAACACTTGGAAGGTAATAAAGTGATAGGGAATAGCCAGCATGGGTTTGTGAAGAACAAGTCATGCCAAACTAATCTGATAGCTTTCTTTGATAGGATAACGAGCCTTGTGGATAAGGGAGAAGCGGTGGATGTCATATACCTAGACTTTAGTAAGGCATTTGATACGGTCTCGCATGATATTCTTATTGATAAACTAGGCAAATATAACTTAGATAGGGCCACGATAAGGTGGGTGCATAATTGGCTGGATAACCGTAGTCAGAGAGTTGTTGTTAACGGTTCTAAATCCTGCTGGAAAGGGATAACAAGTGGAGTTCCTCAAGGGTCTGTTTTGGGACCCGTACTGTTCAATATCTTCATCAATGATGTAGATATTGGGATAGAGAGTACGCTTATTAAGTTTGCAGATGATACCAAACTGGGTGGGGTTGCGACTTCTTTGGAGGATAGGGACATAATTCAAAATGACCTTAGCAAGTTAGAGAAATGGTCAGAGGTAAACAGGATGAGGTTTAATAAAGAGAAATGCAAAGTGCTCCACTTAGGAAGGAACAATCAGTTCCATACATACAAGATGGGAAGCGACTGTCTAGGAAGGAGCATGGCGGAAAGGGATCTAGGGGTCATAGTGGACCACAAGTTGAATATGAGTCAACAGTGTGATGCTGTTGCAAAAAAAGCAAATATGATTCTAGGTTGTATCAACAGGTGTGTTGTAAGCAAAACTCGTGAAGTCATTCTGCCGCTCTATTCTGCACTAGTTAGGCCTCAGCTGGAGTACTGTGTCCAGTTCTGGGCGCCACATTTCAAGAAAGATGTGGAGAAATTGGAAAGGGTACAGAGAAGAGCGACAAGAATGATTAAATGTCTAGAGAACATGACCTATGAAGCCAGGCTTCATGAACTGGGCTTGTTTAGTTTGGAAAAAAGAAGATTAAGGGGGGACATGATTGCGGTTTTCAAATATCTAAAAGGGTGTCACAAGGAGGAAGGAGAAAATTTGTTTCTCTTGGTTTCTGAGGACAGGACAAGGAGTAATGGGCTTAAAGTGCAGCAGGGGAGGTTTAGATTGGACATTAGGAAAACATTCCTAACTGTCAGGGTGGTCAAATATTGGAATAAATTGCCAAGGGAGGTGGTGGAATCTCCCTCTCTGGAGATATTTAAGAACAGGTTAGATAGACATCTGTCAGGGATGGTGTAGACGGAGCTTGGTCCTGCCTTGAGGGTGGGGGGCTGGACTCGATGACCTCTCGAGGTCCCTTCCAGTCCTATGATTCTATATCATCAGTCCAGCCAACGCTACTTCCTAATGTAGTAGAATTCAGTTCCACAATATGGTTATTAGTTAGCTATGCAAGTTGTCTATATTTTATTATTGAGAAAATGGTAACAGTAGCAATGAGATTCTTGTTACTGTGCCTCCAAAGTGAATACGCCACAAGGTATTTATGCATCAGGATGTTTTTTTCTTTTCTTTAACATCTTCATTAAATGCCCTAGAACAGTGGTCTCCAACCTTTTCACACCCAAGATTTTAAATGACAGAACAAGCCAAGATCTACCGCCCCTTCCTTGAAGCCCCGCCCTCTTTATTCTCCTCCATTCCATCACTTGCGATTCCCAACCCTTATACTGCTGCTTTTTTTCCCAATTCTTCTGTAGGAAGACATTTTTCCAACTAAAAGAAGCGGAAGAACAAATGCATCCCGGGATGCAGAAGTGTTTTTCTGGGCTCTCTCCAGAATCCTGAAAAACTCCTGCAGTCTAGCCGGACCTCGCTTGGTTGAGACAGGATGTGTAGGCTCTGGGATGGGAATGAGGGATTTGGGTGTGGGAAGGGGTGAGAGATGCAAGCTCTGGGAGGAATTCTGGATTCAGGAGGAGGTGGGTAAGGGGACGCTGGCTCGGGGGGGGGGCGCCAGGCCAGGCAGTGTTGGGGTCAGATGTAGGGTTAGGGTACTAAGCAAGCCACAGACTTCTGGCTGTGAGGGTTCAGGAATTTGGGTTGGTGTATGTGAGGGGCTCAGGGCAGGGGGTTCCAGTGTATGATAGGCTCAGATCTAGGGTCTGGGGGAAAGGGGAGTGCAGGAATGTCATAATGCTGTTGCCAGATGGGGGCTTGGTGGCCAGGCTTCATTTTAAAATAAAATACTGTGTCAAACACAAAAAGTTTCTGCATTGTCTTTATTTCTGAGACGGGCGGGGAAATTCTGCATTGTCTTTATTTCTGAGAAGCGCGGGGAAACTATTTTGAGTCGGGGTCACTGACCCACAGAAAACTCAGTTGGGGCCACACAAGTGAGATGCAAAAAAACCCCTCCTCCAACCCCTCCCCCCAAGCTTCACTCATGTGGCCCCAACTGTGTTGGTGGGAGCAAGGGACATAGTGCTAGTGGGTGCTAGTGGGTGCTTCGGCAGGGGACAGGGTGCCAGTGGAAACAGGTTTCTGAGGCTGGGGAGTGGAGAGAGGGAACAGGGAGCCAGTGGGGGCAGAGAGTCCCCTGCACCCGCCTCTTCCCTCCCAGGATTCTCCAGAAGGAAGCCAGCTCATGCGTTCTCTGGGGCCGACCCCCCTCTGCGGTGCAAACACCCGCGTGCACCTGCCCTGGGGCCAAGCCCCCCTCCCACAGCGCAGCCAAACCCCTGCACGTGCCAAGCCCCGGGGTTGATCCTGCCTCCAACAGCGCAGGGAAATCCCTGCGCTCGACTCACCCCTCCTGTGGCACAGGGAAGCCGCTGCCACGCTCCTCCTCCTGGGCTGATGCCTCCTCCTGCACCGCGCCTGGCATGCCACAGAGCTATGGGAGGGAAGCAGCCAGCACACTTCCAGAACCCCTGAAAGTGGCTCGAAGCTGCAGGCAGGACTTCCGTCCACCCCGCGGGAAGCCAGCACTACGCTGGATGTAGGTAGTGGGGCTTGTCGGGGGAGAGGGGAAAATGGAGGGTGGGGGGCCTGAATGCCTCGCAATCGACTGGTCAATCCCGATCACCTGGTTGGTGACCACAGGCCTAGAAGCACTGAGTTTTTGAGAGGTTAGTCAGATATTGTTCTAAATACCACAGAGCAATTTACTTGCTGGAGGCTATGTGTGAGAACCCAATTAACAGACTTAGGCTAGCAGAGCTTCATTAGCATTGTAAAAGTTACTGGGTGACAGTACTTTGAAGTTGTGTCTGGAGCTTGGACTCTTAAGAAAAGGTAGGGAAGGTGGCCAGGCCTTGGGAAATGAAAACATTTAATTGCAAAACATGCAATGCAAACAGAGCAATAATGTAGAATTAAAAACAGCCTTTTATATAAAAATACATTCATGATTTCAGCTCTATCAGTACAAAATCAGCATTAGTGTTACATTATATTTATTCCTCTTTAATTGAACAAATTCTCATTGTTGTTCCTTTGTGGGAATTTTTAAAGAATGGACAAACCTCTCCTGAGAATGAACAATCCCTAAATGTGAACAACACAGACATGTCAGTTACATTGAAAAAGGTCACCAGTCCATCATGGTAACTAAGGTAAACTCCAATTTTTGTCAGCTTTTTCTGCACCACGACCCGGGTCCATGGATCTGTTTTTGCCCAACAATCTCTCCCACTGACACCGAAAACCCAGAATCCCTCTTTGGGGGACAGGGAAAGTTTCCCTTTTCTCTGTATTGATATTCTGGACACTCCAAGGTCCCAGTCATTAATGCCCACAACCTCCACCTCCCAGTAGTGCTTTCCAGAGGAGAAGCTCTCAGAACCCAGCATGCAGACAGTTGAATCAAACCTCCCTGGGTTTGGTGGAACTTGTTGAGGTTGGGCTTCATGTGTCAAACTCTTCCTATTGTCAGCAAGAGAAAGATTGGGGTGGGCCGTGAGTCCATTAAGAGTGATGTCATCTATAGAAGAGAAGGGGGTTTATTTTGAGGACCACTCTTAAGTTGTCACTATAAACTGGATCAGAAGCATATATACACAGTGAGCCATCTTCTGCCACCTCTTCCCATGCAAAGCTCCCGCTGAGTTCAATTGAAGTTTTGTCTGGGAAGGACTGCAGGACTTGGCTAGCGCAGCACACTTGCCATTTCAATGTTGCATTGAACTATTTTGGAAATGAGACTTGCATGGCATTTACACAGAAATAAAATTGACCCTGAACTGATTATCACATTAGTATTCAAATAGGGTCAGATTTTGAGCTGTTACATTACTATGAATCCAGAGTAACTTCAGTTATACTAATGGCCAGCAAAATACATCATCACTTGCTTCATACACAAAAAACTTAGCCCAATTCAGCTCTCAGGGTATGTCTACACTACCACCATAGTTCGAACTAGGGTGGTTAATGTAGGCAACCGGAGTTGCAAATAAAGCCCGGGATTTGAATTTCCCGGGCTTCATTTGCATGTTGCCAGGAGCCGCCATTTTTAAATCCCCGCTGGTTCGGACTCCATGCCCGCGGCTACACGCGGCGTGAACTAGGTAGTTTGGATTAGGCTTCCTATTCCGAACTACCTGTTCCACGAGGAGTACAGGTAGTTCGGAATAGGAAGCCTAATCCGAACTACCTAGTTCGTGCCGCGTGTAGCCGTGGGCACGGAGTCCGAACTAGCGGACATTTAAAAATGGTGGCGCCTGGCAACATGCAAGTGAAGCCCGGGAAATTCAAATCCCGGGCTTTATTTGCAACTCCGGTTGCCTACATTAACCACCCTAGTTCGAACTATGGTGGTAGTGTAGACATACCCTGAGAGCTGAATTGGGCTAAGTTTTTTGTGTATGAAGCATAGCAAAAATATGTTTTCTGTGATAGCTAACTATGACAAGAACTTTGTCATGAAAAACAGAATTGGAGTAATAAGAATGTAAACACTGGTCATGTCAATATGCCTCTATTACTATCATTATAAATCAATACGATGAACATTAATAATAACATTATAATTACTCACTAAAATTAAGTTTTATCTAATAATGAGACCTTAAGTCAAGACCCCAAATTTTTGTTACCAACTCTGCTTCTCTGTGAGTTTGGTCAGGTCACTCAAGCTCTCTGACAGCTGGTTTACTTCTTTGGTAAACACTGTATGGTGACAACAACCCCATCAGGATTTTCCATTGGGCTATGTCTACACTGGCAGTTTCTTGCGGAGGAATGGTTGTCTACACTGCATGAGTGTTCTTCCAGAAGTAAATTTACAGTATAGCATTGTAAAACAGGGCTTATTCCAGAAGAATTATTCCTCTCCCCAGGAGGAATAAGCCCTCTCGCGCAAGAGCTCTTCCAGAAGAGGGCAGTGTAGACAGGCAACATGAATTTATTTCGCAAGAAGCCCCTATGGTTAAAATGGCCATCAGAGCTTTCTTGCGGAAGAGAGCGTCTACACTTCCATGGATGCTCTTGCAGAAAAGTTTTTGTACAAGAAGCTGCCAGTGTAGACGTAGTTGTTTGTAATGAGCTCTGAGATGGTCAGCAGAAAACATATGCAACACGCAAATTATTATCTGCACTATTTTCATTATCAGATCATCGTGTCCTTTCCCTCCCCTGCATCATTTTAATCTTCTCTTGCTGTTACTGTTATAATCAGTAACAACACAGCCAGTCTCAATTAGCACCAGAGCAACAGTCCTATCACTGCCCATCATGATCTTACCCACCACTGCATTATGATTCTCTTTTCAGTCACCATCCCTGCCACCACATTATGGCTATGTCTACACTGACGGGTTATCCATCCATGGCAGCGTGGATATTATCTTGCGCAAGAACTCTGATGGCCATTTTAGCCATAGGGCTTTCTTGCACAAGAAACCCCTGCTGCACGTCCACACTGCACTCTTGTGCAAGAGCTCTTGCACAAGAGTGCAGTGTGGACGTGCAGCAGGGGTTTCTTGTGCAAGAAAGCCCTATGGCTAAAATGGCCATCAGAGTTCTTGCGCAAGATAATATCCACGCTGCCATGGATGCTCTTGTGCAAAAGCACGTTTTGCACATGGCAATGTGGACGTGTTCCTGTGCAAGATGTTCTTGTGCAATAACCCCCCAGTGTAGACATAGCCTATGTGTGCTTTCACTATTGCCCAATTGCCAAGGGTCTCCTTAGGCACTTCTGTAAATCCCATGTCAAGTAAACATTAAGGCCCAGCTCCTCAAAGGTATTTAGATGCCTAAATCCCAAGGTTACTTTTGAGGAGCTGAGCTGAAAAGACTTAAGAATGCAGGTCTGTCAAAGGGTATCTGGCTCTCTGTAGGGGTTAGGGTGCAGTCTACCCCTGACAGGCTTCACAAAGTTAGCACAAGGACCCAAAGGGCTAGATAATGAACGTGATGAATACAGACTTGAGGGTGGAGGCATAAGAGGGATGGAATCAGTCAGTGTAGCTTTCCATCCTGCCACAGTGGCATGGCTAAGAGATATAGGTCCCATATTACAAGGCCTCATTGAATGGCGATGAAATTTGTGATCTGAAATCCCTTAAAGATTTTTGAAAGCCACAGCATCGGTCATTACTCAGGGAACTCTTGTTGCAGGTTGATTCTGATCTGACTAATGTAGTTGGGGAGTAACCCCATAGAAGTCATTAGCCTTAAAAAGGTGTGAAACTGGTGTAAACAGGGTCAGAATCAGGTGGCAAAATGAGTTTAGGAGCTTGGAAGTAAAGCCCGTAGGAGCTGTGTCCTCTCACAAGAACAGGCTGTGTATCTAGTTTGTATCAAACATGCAGCTTTCTTTAATATTGAGATATTGTCGCTTGGGATTTCCCAGGATTCCACTGCTGGCACCACTGATGGGGCCAATCCTTCTTCCTCTGGGGGTTCCCTGGAAGTTTCTTGGGTGGGATGGGAGCTTCCGTTCCCCACTTGAACCCTCTGATAATGGGGGTTACCCAGCCAGGGCCAAGACTCCCTAGTTGCTGCCTGTCCCAGACGCTGCTGGTGCAGCCAGGATTCCCCAGCCCTGTGTTCTCCTGGCAAGTTCCCACTCCTCGCTGCTGAGGCACTTTGTCCAGATGTTGTGGACAAGAGACCTGGATTTGGGAGGTTCATCCCATATTAGAATGTGCTGTGTGTTGTGTTACCTGAATTGTTCCGAGCTCTTCTCCATTCTGAAACACAAGTAAGAAAACAACAGACATTGAAATAAGAGGAAGAATTGATGGCAAATTTCCTCTGTCCATGAGCTGGGATGTTCCAGCCTGAAGGCAAATGAAAATGCCTGAAACAGATGGGGGGATTCCTTTTACAGGAATGAATATTGACAAAAATGGTTCTTAAATGGTCATTTTCTCTCTCTCTCTTTCACTCATACACACACACACACACACACACACACACACACACACACACACACACACACACACACACACACACTATTCTGAACTAAGATTAGAAACCAGGACAGGAGTCCTGCCCTGAATGTATTGCACCTCCAGTCAATGTGTCACCTCACTGTGATGCCTGCTTTCCTAGGGTATGTCTACACTACAGCGTTATTTTGAAATAGTTTTGAAATAGCTTATTTCGAAATAACGCTTCTATACACAAAATGCATTTCGAAATAGCTTTTTGCTATTTTGAAATAGTGTGTCCACACCAAGTGGACACTGAATCGCATTTAAGGCCGGCTGGAACCAGGTCCAGCAGGGCATCAGGTCAGGAGTTACTGTGTGTGCCTGCTGCCTGAGGCTATGTGAGGCCTGTGCTTATGAGGGACAGCAAAGCATTTTGTCTCTGCGTGCTCCAGTTGCCCTCACTCGGGACACCACAGCACTCTGCAACATGGAGCCAGAGCTGCCCCTGGGCACTCGGTGCTTCTCATGGACTCATTGCTGTGAGCCTGGCTGTACTTTCTGCAGGCTGCCATCTAGGAGGGCCATCAGGGGACTGTCAGTATCCAGGAGGTACTGTGGGAGAGCTTCCACCCTGAGGAGCATTAAAACCTTCCTGCTCTATCCCACTGGAGGCTTGTGCCTCATTCCTCCCTCACTTCCTTCCACTTACTCTTCCCTAACTCCCCTTCCCTATGTCAAATAAAATACATGTTTTTTCATGAACACAAACTCTCTTTATTTAACAAAACGGGGGGGGGGGAGATAAGGAAACTCTATTGAGACTGGGGAAAGGAGGTGGGAGAGGGGAGAAGATAGGGTGGGAGAGGGGAGGGGGAAATCTGGGAGGAGGGAGCTGGAAGGGGGAAGCAAGGGGAAGAAAGGGTAGGAAAAGCTCAGGGCTCAGGATTGTGGGTCTTGCCGGACCAACTTGATTTTCATGAGAACCTGCTCCTCCTGCCATAGACGGCCGCGTTCCTCCATCTACTGCGGAGATCATGGACATTGGAGGCATCCCACCAAACCTGAATAAGGTCCATGATCTCCACCCTGGACCAGGAAGGCGCCCGCCTCCTCCGGGCCCTGGCAGGCTCCTGGGAGCTCCAGGGAGGGGGGAGGAAGAGGAGTGTTCTTGGTTGAGGCTGGGGAATGGCCAACAGAGCACCTTGGGAAGGCTGGAGGCCCCTTATTTTAAAATAAGTGTCTACACAGCACTTATTTCGAAATAGCTATTTTGAATTTAGTGCTATTCCTCATCGAATGAGGTTTACCAAATTCGAAATAAGCGCTCCACTATTTCAATTAATTTTGAAATAGCAGTTTGGCTGTGTAGATGCTAGTAAAGTTATTTCAAAATAATGGCTGATATTTCGAAATAACTTTGCTGTGTAGACAATTCCCTTCAAACATCTGTCTACACTGCAGCTAGGAGGTGTAATAGGTTGTATGGGTGGACATGCAAGCACCACATCTATTTGAGTCAGTGCACTACAAACAGCAGTGTGACAATGCTGGTGAGGCTAACCTCACCATAACAAATCCACCTTACTTCTGGGGACAGATCACTCTGCTAATCAGTTGTCCGGCATTTGAATCTCTCCTGAGTGGTCACCTAAGTGCACATTAAGTAAGTGCAGTGACATAAGTAGCAGCTTGGACTAGCTTTGGGTACATCTACACTTGCTTGTTAGTTTCAGCTAGGCAGGGTAATGAGGGCAAGCTGAGTTGCAAATGAAGCCCGGGATTTAAATATCCTGGGCTTCATTTGCATGTTCCCGGGTGCCGCTATTTTTAAATCCCCCTTTGTCCGAACTCCATGCCTGAGGGTACACTACTTGTGGAATGAGGAGTAATGGTAGTTCGAATTAGAATAATTAATTTGAAGTACCTACGCCGTGCCGCGAGTAGCCGTGGGCACGGAGTTCAGACTAAGGGGGATTTAAAAATGGCGGCGCCCGGGAACATGCAAATGAAGCCCAGGATATTTAAATCCCGGGCTTCATTTGCAACTCAGCTTGCCCTCATTACCCTGCCTAGCTGAAACTAACAAGCAAGTGTAGATGTACCCAAAGCTAGTCCAAGCTGCTACTTATGTCACTGCACTTACTTAATGTGCACTTAGGTGACCACTCAGGAGAGATTCAAATGCCGGACAACTGATTAGCAGAGTGATCGCAGCTAGGGGAGTTTTGTTTCTACTGGTATGCACATTTTCACATGCCTTGGTTCACATAGAAATTGATTCTGCACATGGATGAAAGAAATTCAACATATGGATGAATAAGATTAGAAGAAAGTTTGACTTAGCATTCAGGCTGGCGCAGATTTGAGAGATTTCATCCTCCTCTTGCCCAGGGAATTACACACCCCACTTGCTATGCAGACATGCTCTACATGAGTGACATTCCATCTGTGGCTGCAATGGGGTTGCAGTCCCACATGAGACAGACAATGGGAGTGGGGACACCAGCAAGTGTGCACACAGGTCCTCACTCACCTAATTCCTTCTCCTTTTCATCTGGAAAAAAACCCCCAAAAGCAATTACTGCAGGATTTTAAACAATTGCTCAGTGTATTGTCTTGGTATCATAGGCCAACAGTTACCAGTGCACGAATTAAATTGCTGGATATCCATGATCACTTAAATTTAAAAAGAAGCGGCCAGGGAGATGGAGGAGAGTAAGGAGAATTGCCCTTACCCTCTATAAAACAAGCAATATTCAGTGGGGACACTAGTACGGCTGTACACTCACCTAATTTCTTTCTCATTTCATCTGGGGAAAAAACAAAAAACAATTATTGCAGGTTTTTAAACTCTTGTTCATTGTTTTTCTTGGTATTATAGGTGAACAATTGCCCACTCAAAGAATTAAATTATGCAAAATCTATTATGATTTAAATGTAGAAGGTCTAGAGAAATTGATAGCTGGATAGGTGGAAAAAATTATGATGATTGTTTATGGTTGCATGCTTTATCTTAGGGTGTGTCTATGCTGGAGGTCTTATCTCCAAATGAGCTGCAGAAACTGAGCTACGTCCATTGCGTATTTTGTTTCAAAAGAGCTTATTTCAAACTAGGGAGCATCTACACAGCACTTATTTTGAAATAGAGAACTCTTCCTCTGACTTCTCTTATTACTCGTATAATAAAGGTTACAGGACTCAGAGTAAGAAGTCCAGTATTGACAGTATTTTGACAGTACTAAGAAATAACTGCCTGCTGTGTGGACATGGTCTAAGTTATTTTGGAATAGCACTAGGTATTTTGAAATAATGTTGCCATGTACATGTACCCTTACAGATATTCCTGTGCAAAATGGGGGAAATATGGAGTAAAGGGGTTTCGAGATCGAGATAAGGAACTGCAGCACTACAGTCCTGGCTGAGGCTTTCTTCTATATACAGAGGGAGGAATCTCATATGTTTTGCAGAGGATGTGGATGCTCCATTTGAAGGAGAACCCTCCATATTTCTGTGCCAATGCTGAAGAAATTGAAGGGCCTGGAATAGCAGATTGATTGGATTGTCCTGCTGCCTTCTTTTGACAGTGGCAAGGTTGGCATGGAAAAACAAAGGAACTCCTTTGCTGCCAATTAGTCCTGCAGGCTTGAATGCACCAAAAGCAGCAGTGCTGCACCTGTGTCGGTTGGTAATGGATTTTAATATCTACAGCATTGTATGGGAGAAGTCCTCAGTAACACGGATACATCCTCTAATGTAATCTATGCCATCAATGGCCACCGATGCCCCTATGTCATGTTTATTGGTCAAACTGGGAAGTCTTGGTGGCTGTGTCTAGACTGGCAAGTTTTTCCGCAAAATCATCTGCTTTTGCGGAAAAACTTGCCAGCTGTCTACACTGGCCGCTTGAATTTCCGGAAAAGCACTGATGATCTCATGTAAGATCGTCAGTGCTTTTCTGGAAATACTATGCTGCTCCCATTCGGAAAATTCATGTAGCTGTGGTAGTCCAAATTGGAGCATTATAATGGTGTCTGTCTGTGGTGAATCCTGGGAATCATGTGTGTGCAAAGGTGTATAGTGATGTGAATGTATGTGTCTTGTAGATCAAAGGCTGAGATCTAGTCCCATTCTGGGATTATCACCATCTGTAAAACCATTTTGAACTTGTGATTGTGAACTAATTTGTTGAGTTGCCTCCCATCTAAGACAGGTCTCCATCCTCTGTTTTTCTTGTGTGTTACAAAATAGTGGTAGTCGAACCTTTTCCCTCTCTGCTCTATGGGAACCTAGCTAGAGAAGATGGTTTACTTCTTGTCTCAGAGGGAACTCATGAGAAAGATACCTGAAGAGGGACAGGGAAGAAGGGTGGGTAGTATAGGTAGCGGTAAAAGGGATGGTATATGCAGATCTTCTTATTTCCCATTCCTAATTGTCTTTGGTGATCCAGAGTAGGTAAAATGGTTGAAGTCTGTGGCCAAAAGTGTGGATATTCAATCACATATGCTTTGGAAGCAGTGGAAGGTATGTCAGACCCTTGACCAAATCCTCCAAATTGTGGTTTATTAGATGGCATTTGGGACATCGAAGCCTGGTGTTATGATGGCCAATGTTTCTGTGCCTGGTGGCAAGGCATAGTTAGTTTGAGATGACACTGTTCCTGTTGCACAGTTGGAATGGTCTGTGACTATTAGGAAAGAAGAGGGAATATATTCCCAAAAGTATGGAGTGCAGCTCATGAGTCTTACACTGAATGCAAAACATCATCCATAATTTTTATGAAAATAATTTTCCATGTCACACAGGAGAGTTTCTGATTTGGGAGGTTCAATGTGTATTAGAATGTGTTGTTTGTTCTGTTACCTGAATTGTTCTGAGCTCTTCTCCATTCTGAAACAAAAGTAAGAAAACAACAGACATTGAAATAAGAGAAGCATTGATGGCAAATTTCCTCCATTCAGTTGTTGGGATGTTCTAGCTTGAAGGCAAATGATGCTCCCCCCACCCCCCACCAAACACACACACACTCAATTCTGAGCCAAGATTAGAAACCAGAACAGGAGTCCTGCTCTAGCTGTACTGAATCTCCAGTCAATGTGTCCCCTCACAGTGATGCCTGCTTTCCTAGGCTTTGTATGTCTCTACCATCTTCAACATTCCCCTCTCACTAAAACAGAAAATTAACCTTCAATCCATTTACAAAGTATTTGCTACCACCACGGTTTGTATTCATAGCAATCCAGGTTCTACTAGGAAGGATATGGAAGGACAATACCCTCCAAACATCTGTCTACATTGCAGCTAGGGGGTGTAATAGGTTGTATGAGTAGACATGCAAGCACCACATCTATTTGAACAAGTGCACTACAAACAGCAGTGTGACAATGTTGGTGAGGCTAACCTCACCATAACAACTTCAGCTTACTTCTGGGGACATATTCAGAATGCCAGTCCAAGCTGCTACTTGTGTCACCGCACTTACCTATCTGAAGAAGTGCACTTAGGTGACCACTCAGGGGAGATTCAAATGCCGGACAACTGATTAGCAGAGTGATCGCAGCTAGGGGAGTTTTGTTCCTACTGGTATGCACATTTTCACATGCCTTGTTGCACATAGAAATTGATTCCACACATGAATGGAGGAAATCCAACACATGTATGAAAAAGGCTAGAGGAAAGATTGACTTCCACTGCTGTATTTAGCATTCAGGCTGGAGCAGATCTGAGAGATTTCGTCCTTCTCTTGCCCGGGGAATTACACACCCCACTTGCTATGCAGACATGCTCTACATGAGTGACATTCCATCTGTGCCTGCAGTGGGGTTGCAGCCCCACATGAGACAGACAATGGGAGCGGGGACACCAGCAAGTGTGCACACAGGTCTTCACTCACCTAATTCCTTCTCCTTTTCATCTGGAAAAAAACCCCCAAAAGCAATTACTGCAGGATTTTAAACAATTGCTCAGTGTATTGTCTTGGTATCATAGACCAACAGTTACCAGTGCATGAATTAAATTGTTGGATATCCATGATCACTTAAATTTAAAAAGAAGCAGCCAGGGAAATGGAGGAGAGCAAGGAGAATTGCCCCCCACTCTCTAAAAAATAGGCATTTGGCAGTGGGGACACTAGTAAGTGTAGGTGTACACTCATCTAATTTCTCTCTCATTTCATCTGGGGAAAAAACAATTACTGAAGGTTTCTAAACTCTTGTTCATTGTTTTTCTTGGTATTATAGGTGAACAATTGCCCATTCAAATAATTAAATTATGCAAAATCCATTATGATTTAAATGTAGAAGGTCTAGAGAAATTATGATGATTATTTATGGTTTGCATGATTTAAGTAGTGTTGACATACCCCCAGACTTCTCTTGGTGGCCTGTAAGGGTTGGGGGGCACTGCTGTAGGCCACTCCAGGCCCTACCCCACCCTCCTTTGGGGAGTCCCTTATCCTTCCTTCCTAATGCAGGATCCTGGTGTGTGGTATATCACTGAATTTCTAACAAGGACTCTCTGAAGAAGGACTGATGAAAAATCATGGAGGGGATCCTCAAGGAATCCATTTTAAAGATTTTGGAAGAGAAGAAAAGTGATCAGGAATAGACAACATGGATTCATCAAGGGTAAATCATGACTGACCAATCTGAGTAGCTTTTATGATAAGGTAACTGGCAGACATGGGAAATTGGTGGATGTGATATACCTTGATTTTAGCAAAGCTTTTTATATCGTCTCCCACAGCATCCTTGCCAGCAAGTTAAGGAAGTATGGCTTGGATAAATGAACTGTAAGGTGGCTAGAAAGCTGACTAGATGGTCAGGCTCAACAGGTGGCGATCAATGTCTTGATGTCAGGTCAGCTTCAAGCAGAGTGCCCAAAGGATAGTTTCTATGGCTGGTTTTGTTCAACATCTTTATTAATGACCTAAATGAAGGCATGGATTGTACCCTCAGAAAGTTCCCAGATGACACTACACTAGGGGGAGAGCTAGATATATTGGAGGATAAGGTAGGGTCCAGAGTGACCCAGACAAATTAGAAGATTGGGAGAAAGAAATTTGATAAGTTTCAAGAAGGACATGTGCAGAGTCAAGCACTTGGGTTGGAAGAATCCCAAGCATTGTTACAGGCTGGGAACAGACTGGATAAGCAGCAATTTGGCAGAAAAAGACCTAGGGATTATAGTGGATGAGAAGCTGGATATGAGTTGACAGTGTGTCCGTGTGGCCATGAAGGCTAATGGCATATTGGTGGGTTTTAGGAGGAGCATTTCCAAAAAATCTAGAAAAGTGATGACTCCCCTTTATTTGGCACTGGTGAGGCCACATCTGGAGTATTGTGTCCAATTCTGGGGCTCGCAGTACAGAAAGGATGTGGATGCACTAGAGAAGGTCCAGCAAAGGACAATGAAAATGATGACGGGGCTGAAGCAGATGAGTTGTGAGGCGAGGCTGAGGGATTTGGGCTTGTTATTCTATACAAAAGAAGAGTGTTGGGGGGGAATTTGACAGCAGTCTTTAACTACCTGAAGCAAGGCACAAATGAGGATGGAGAGAGGCTGTTCCCAGTTGTGACAGATGGGAAAATAAGGCCCAATGGTCTCAAGTTGCAATAGAGGATGTCTAGGTTGGCTATAAGGAAAAACTATTTCACTAGGAGGGTGGTGAAGCACTGGGATGGGTTACCTAGGGAGGTACTGGAATCTCTATCCTTCTAGGTTTTTTAAGTCCCAGCTTGACGAAGACGTGGTTGGGATGGTTAGCTGGGGTTGGTCGTGCTTTGGGCGGGGAGTTGGTCTCAAAGACTGCTGAGGTCTCTTCCAAACCTCCCAAATTCTATGATTCTATGTATTTGTTAGTCTCTAAGGTGCCTCAGGACTAGTCGTTTTTAGGGATACAGGCTGACTTATCAATACAATGCTGGGTACCATGTGGATATCTCAAGCTGACTGTAAGAAGGAAGATGATGATTCCCTCCTTTCTCCAAAATCTCTTGTGGGTCTCATCTAAAGATGGTTCCTAAGACAAAGCAGCTTCTTGCTCTGAGGGACAGAGAGGCTACTTCTACACTGGCCCCTTCTTCGGAAGGGGCATGCTAATTTTGAACTTGGGAATAGGGAAATCCGCGGGGGATTTAAATATTTAAATAAACATGGCTGCCGCTTTTTTTCCGGCTTGGGGAAAAGCCGGAAAAAAGCATCTAGACTGGCGCAATCCTCTGGAATAAAGCCCTTTTCCGGAGGATCTCTTATTCCTACTTTGAATAAGAGTCTGAGGGTCTGTCCTCTGCCCTTTCAGGAGTATATGGCAGCAAGGAACGAGGTGTACAGGTAGTTCGGAATAGGAAGCATAATCCAAACTACCTAGTCCGTGCCGCGTGTAGCCGCGGGCACGGAGTCTGAAATAGCCAGCATTTAAAAATGGCGGCGCCCGGCAAGATGCAAATGAAGCCCAGGAAATTCAAATCCCGGGCTTCATTTGCAACTTCGGTTGCCTACATTAACCACCCTAGTTCGAACTAGGGTGGTAGTGTAGACATACCCTATTATACTCGCAGTTGGTGGAGGGTCAAGTATGACAATGCTGGCGAGGCTAACCTCACAATAACAATGCCATCTTACTCTTGGGGACATATTCAGAAATCTAGTCCAAGTTGCTGCTTGTGTCACCGCACTTACCCAGTGTTCTTTGTAAGCTGTGCACCTGGGTGGCCACTCAGGGGAGATTCAAATGCAGAATAACTGTTAACAGAATGCCCACAGATAGTGGTTTTTTGTTTCTATTGGTGTGTACATTTCTGCATGCCTTGGTGCACATGGAAATTGATTCTGCACATGGACAGAGGATATCCAACATGTGGATGAAAAAGATTGACTTCCATATTTACTATAGCAGAGTTGGGAGTTTGCCCTGGGAATTATACACCCCACCTGCTATGCAGAATCTGTGACATTCCAGCTGTGGCTACAGTGGTGTTGCAGCCCTATATATTACTGGAAAGGAGGCTGACACACAATGGGAGTGGGGAAACCAGCAAGTGAGCACACCAGTCTTCACTTACCTAATTTCTTCTTCATTTCATCTGGAAAAAAAAACCAATTATTGCAGCCTTTTAAAATCTTGTCTATTGTTGTTTGTTGATATCATAGACCAAAAGTCACCCAGTGCATGAAAATTCATTATTACTTACATTTTTAAAAAAAGCTGGAGATACTACACCCTATTTTAAGACATCTCCTAGCCCTCGTGGTGTGGGGGTTGCAGGGACGTTGAAATAGCACTCCCGTTATTTTGAAAAATATTATGAAGTAACAGGTGACTTAAGATGCAGAATGGCGATTACAGGATAGCTGTGCTGGTTAGTGAAGCACTGAGATGGGTTCCTTTGGTAGCTGCTGGATTCTCTATCCCTAGAGCAGTGGTCGCCAACCTTTTTAAGCACAAGATCACTTTTTGAATTTAAGTGTCATCCAAGATCTACTTCAAAACCAAACATTCTTGCCCCACCTCATTTTTGCTCCTTGCCCTGCCTCTCTCCAAGGCCCCACTCCTGTTCACTCCATCATCCCTCCCTCCACCACCTTCATTCATTTTCACCAGACTCAGGCAGAGGGCTGGGGTGCAGGTGCTGGTCTTGCGTTAAGGGATTTAGAGTGTCAGGGGCTCTGAGCTGAGCTTAGAGCAGGTAGCTGGGGTTGCAGGAGCGGGTTCTAGGTGCAGGCTCGGGGGGGGGGGATGTTTGGATGCATGGGGACTCTGGGCTAGGGCAGGGGCTTGACGTATAGAACTCTCCAAGGCCCCACTCCTGTTCACTCCATCATCCCTCCCTCCACCACCTTCATTCATTTTCACCAGACTCAGGCAGAGGGCTGGGGTGCAGGTGCTGGTCTTGCGTTAAGGGATTTAGAGTGTCAGGGGCTCTGAGCTGAGCTTAGAGCAGGTAGCTGGGGTTGCAGGAGCCTGTGGAAATAAGATACAAGGTGTGAGAAGGGAGCATGGTAACATTAGCACCATCCTCTCCCTCCCTTGTCCTGCACAGCAAGCAGGAGATTCCTGAGGGAACAACTCCAAGGCAAAGGGCCAGAGATGCACAGCAGTGGGAGGAGGAGCAGCTGAAGTGCTGTACTTGATAGCCACATGGCCAAACCTGTCAGGATCACCTGTCAGAGGCTCCAAGATCTACCGGTAGATCCAGATCCACTGGTTAGTGACACTGAGATACAGGGTGTGAGAAGGGGGCACGGTAATATTAGCACCATCCTCTCCCTCCCTTGTCCTGCACAGCAAGCAGGAGGTTCCTGGGGGAACAACTCCAAGGCAAAGGGCCAGAGATGCACAGCAGTGGGAGGAGGAGCAGCTGAAGTGCTGTACTTGATAGCCACATGGCCAAACCTGTCAGGATCACCTGTCAGAGGCTCCAAGATCTACCGGTAGATCCAGATCCACTGGTTGGTGACACTGCCCTAGAGGTTTTTTTAGTCCTGGCTTGACAAAGTCCTGGCTGTGATGATTTAGTTGGGGTTGGTCCTGCTTTGGGCAGGGGTTTGAACTTTATGACTCCTGAGGTCTCTTCCAAACCTATGATTCTATATATTTGTTAGTCTCTAAGGGTGTGTCTAGACTACACCTCTCTGTCGATAGAGCGATGCAAATCAAACACATCGAAATTGCGAATGAAGCAGGGATTTAAATATCCTGCACTTCATTAGCAAAAGTCCACCACTTTTTCTGAAACAGAGCTTTTTGGAAACCCCCCCGGCAGTCTAGATGTGGCTCTATTGAAAATAAACACTTTTTTGACAGATCCTGTATTCCTCAAAAAGTGAGGTTTACAGGATCTGTCAAAAAAGGGTATATTTTTGACAGATGTGCATCTAGGCTGCCTTTTTTTCCGAAAAAGCTCAGTTTTGAAAAAAGCGGTGGCCATGTTTATGCTAATGAAGCATATTTAAATCCCTGCTTCATTAGCAATTTCAATGTGCTTGATTTGCATCCCTCTGTCGACAGAGAGGTGTAGTCTAGACACACCCTAAGGTGCCACAGGTCTACTTGTTGTTTTTAGGAATAGGGCTGACTGACTAAGAGAATGCTGGATACCATGTGGAAATCTCAAGCTGACTTTAAGAAGGAAGATGATGATTCCTTCCTTTCCCCAAAATCTCTTATGGGTCTCATCTAAAGATGGTTCCTGAGACAGAAAAGCTTCTTGGTCTGAGGGACAGTCGGAGTCTGAGGATCAGTCCTGTGCCCTTTAAGGGGTGTAAGGTGGCAAAGGTCTGTAGCACTCACAGTTGGTGGAAGGTCAAGTGTGACAATGCTGGTGAGGCTAAACTCACAATTACAATTCCACCTTACTCCTGGGGACATATTCAGAAAGCTAGTCCAAACTGCTGCTTGTGTCACAGCACTTACCCTGTGTTCCCTGTTAGCTGTGCACCTGGGTGGCCACTCAGGGGAGATTCAAATGCAGGACAACTAATTAGCAGAGTGCCCACAGATAGGGCAGACAATGGGTGTGGGGACACCAGCAAACGTGCACACTGGTCTTCACTCACCTAATTTCTTTTTTGTTTCATCTGGAAAAACAAAAACCAAATCAATTATTACAGCCTTTTAAAATCTTGTCATTGTAGTTTCTTGGTATCATAGACCAGCAGTCACCCAGTGCATGAATTAAATTGTTGAAAATCCATTATTACTTAAATTTAAAAAGAAGCTGGAGAAATTACAGCCAGGTTCTGAGATATCCCCAAGCCCTCAGGAATGGGGGTTACAGGGATGTTGAAATAGTATGCCCGTTATTTTGAAAAATATTTTGAAATAATAGGTGAACTGTTAAGAGTAGCGATTCAGGGACAGCTGTGCAGGCATACCCTAGGGGAACTTTTCAATCTGCCTGGGCATCATTTATTGATTTAAAAGTAGCCATTCTTTTACAAAGGAATTTCACCAGCCAGTGAGAGAGAGAGAGAGAGAGAAAGAGAGAGTGTCCAATTGACATTCATCTGCAAATTTGATGTTTCCCTGGGACTGAGGAAAGACATAGAATCATATATTCATAGAGCTGGAAGAGACCTCAGGAGGCATTCAAGTCCAGCCCCCTGCTCTAGGCAGGAACAATCCCAACTAAATCAACCCAGCCAGGGCTTTGTCAAGCCGAGACTTAAACACCTCTAGGGATGGAGACTCCACTACTTCCCTAGGGAACCCATCCCAGTGCTTCACTACCCTACTAGTGAAATAGTTTTTCCTAATATCCAACCGGGCCCTCTCCCACCACAACTTGAGACCATTGCTCCTTGTTCTGCCATCTGTCACTACTGTGAACAGCCTTTCTCCATCCTCTTTAGAACCTCCCTTCAGGAAGTTGAAGGCTGCTATCAAATCCCCCTTCACTCTTCGCTTCTGCAGACTGAACAGACCCAAGTCCCTCAGTCTCTCCTCATAGGTCATATGCTCCAGCCCCCTAATCATTTTGGTTGCCCTCCGCTGGACCCTCTCCAATGTGTCCACATGCTTTTTGTAGTGGGGAGCCCAGAACTGGACACAATACTCCAGATGTGGCCTCACCAGAGCTGAATAAAGGGGAATAATGACATCTCTGGATCTGCTGGCAATGTTCCTCCTAATGCAGCCTAATATGCCATTAGCCTACTTGGCTACAAGGGCACACTGTTGACTCATATCCAACTTCTCATCCACTTTAACCCCCAGGTCCTTTTCTGCAGAACTACTACTTATCTGGTTGGTCCTCAGTCTATAACAATGCTTGGGATTCTTCCATCCCAAGTTCAGGACTCTGCACTTGTCCTTGTTAAACCTCATCAGATTTCTTGTGGCCCAATCCTCCAATTTGTCTAAGTCACTCTGGACCCTATCTCTGCCCTCAGGCGTATCTACCTCTCCCTCTAGCTTAGCATCATCCGCAAACTTGCTGAGGGTGCAATCTATCCCCTCATCCAGATCATTAATAAAGATATTGAATAAAACTGGTCCTAGAACCGAACCTTGGGGCACTCTGCTAGAAACTGACCGCCATCCTAACATTGAGCCGTTGATCACTACCCGCCGGGCCCGGCCTTCTAGCCAACTTTCTATCCATCTTACCATCCATTTATCCAATCCACATTCCTTTAACTTGCTGGCAAGAATATTTTGGGAGACCGTATCAAAAGCCTTGCTAAAGTCAAGGTATATAACATCCACTGACTTTCCCACGTCCACATTGCCAGTTACCTCATCATAGAACCTAATCAGATTGGTCAGGCATGATTTTCCCTTTGTGAATCCATGCTGACTATTCCTAATCACTTTCCTCCCATCCAAGTGCCTCAAAATGGATTCCTTAAGGATCCCTTCCATGATTTTTCTAGGAATCGAGGTAAGACTATAGTTCCCTGGATCGTCCTTCTTCCCTTTTTTGAAGATGGGCACTACATTTGCCCTTTTCCAATCATCTGGGATTTCTCCCAATCGCCATGACTTTTCCAAGATAATGGCCAAAGGCTCCTCAATGACCAACTCCCTCAGTACCCTCGGATGCATTAAGTCCAGACCCATGAATTTGCGTACGTTTAGCTTTTCTAAATAGTTCCTAACCTGTTCTTTACCCACCAAGGGCTGTCTATCTTCATCCCATCTTGCGTCACTTAGCGCATTATTCCGGGAGTTCACCTTGTCCGTGAATACAGAGGCAAAGAAAGCATTGAGTACTTCAGCTTTCCTCACATCATCTGTCACTAGGTTACCTCCTTCATCCAGTAGGGGCCGCACACCCTCTCTGATCACCTTCTTCTTGTTAACATGCCTGTAGAAACCTTTGTCATCCTTCACATCCTTAGCCAGTTGCAATTCCATCTGTGCTTTCGCCTGCCTGATAATCCCCGGCACTCTCGAACTATACATTTAAACACCTCCCTGGTCATTTGTCCAAGTTTCCACTCTTTGTAAACTTCCTTTTTGTGCTTAAGTTCACCAAGGATTTCTCCTGTAAGCCAATCCGGTCTCCTACCATGTTTGCCTCTCTTGCTATGCGTCGGGATGGTTTCTTTCTGTGCCTTCAATAAGGCTTCTTTAA